TGCGTGGAGGGCGGGGTAGAAATGTAATGATAAATAAAAAAATACTACCAGAAGGAAACTTCTTCAGTCCTATTTCTCACCCATACCACAGATGCTGAGACACTTCAGGCATCCGTCTCTGGATCCGTGCTTTTTTTGTTTTCCACTCTTCTTCCATCCTTAAGGTATTCTGAGCTTCTTAGGATCTGTCCTGACTCCGAAAATATCTAGTTACACCGGATAATCTGTATTGTGTGGCTTTGGACCTTTCCCTGAACTTGTGTAGTAACTAAGAATTTTTTAAAAATTGTATAAACTGAAAGCAATTTTTTATTATAAAAATACCACTCTCAATACTTCCAGTGGAATTCTATGTCACTATTATAATATGTCATTGGTATTACCACTGACCATAACAACAGCAGTCATGACAGCAGTGGTGATAGCAGTAAGAAAAATCACAGATGTGCAGACCTGTAGACCCAAACTACATGTTTTGACTCAGGAAAATGATGCAGGGTGGAAGGCAGGAGCATCTCCTTCCTCCCACAGAGCCCCTGTAATCCTTTACAAAATGGGTTTTCTGCAGCTGCTGTGTGGTTGCAGCGATGACAGTTTTCAGGACCCAGCTCGTTAAACAAAAACATGATGTGTAGCTCTGCCTGTAAGCACAGGGTATGTTGTTCGTCCAGGTAACCATCTGGGGCATGTTCATTTATACAGAGAGCCAGCATGGTGTAGTGGTTAAGAGTGGCGGACTGTAACCTGGACAACCAAGTTTTATTTCCTACTCCTCCACATGAAGTCTGCTGGGTGATCTTGGGCCAGTCACAGTTCTCTCAGAACTTTCTCAGCCCCACCTACCTCACAAGGTGCCTGTTGTGAGGAGAGGAAGGGAAGGCAATTATAAGCTGCTTTGAGACTCCTTAAAAGTGGGGAATAAAATCCAACTCTTATTCTTCTTTGAGGGGGTGAACAAACATGTGGACAAGAGGGACCCAATAGATATTGTTTACCTTGACTTCCAGAAAGCTTTTGATAAAGTTCCTCATCAAAGGCTCCTAAGTAAGCTCAAAAACTGGCTAATTAATAGAAAACAGAGAGTGAGTATAAATGGGCAGTTCTCTCAGTGGAGGGGGGTAAGCAGTGGGGTACCGCAGGGATCAGTACTTGGTCCACTGCTTTTTAACTTGTTCATTAATGACTTGGAGTTGGGAGTAAGCAGTGAAGTGGCTAAATTTGCGGATGATACGAAGTTGTTCAGGGTGGTGAAAACCAGTGAGGATTGTGAGGCACTCCAAAGGGATCTGTCAAGGATGGGCAAGTGGGCGTCAACATGGCAAATGGGGTTCAATGTGGCCAAGGGCAAGGTGATGCACATTGGAGCCAAAAATCCTAAATATAAATACACATTGATGGGGTCTGAACTGGCAGAGACCACCTGGGGAAGCAGAAGAATAGCCGTTTCAAAGAGAAAGGAAAGATATGTCCTGTAAAAACCTCTCTTTTTTCCCCTCTATGAAATGTAAATTATGTGTGAGAAACTAGTTTTAATTACTGAAGTCCAGTATGACCTGACGGGTTGAAATCCACCTTCCTTTCTTGCACATCCGTGCACACGCATAGCATACCTTTTCCAGACTGACAAAGGTATGTGATCTTTTAGCACCTGGTTGGTGCCTTAGAGATCTATAAAACAATCCTGAGATTTTTACTAGTCATTTTATTTATTTATTTATTTATTTTGCGACTTGTATCCCGCCCTACACATAGTGTCTCAGGCGGCTAACAAATAAGGTTTAAAAATATAGGACAATAAAACTGGCAGAGACGGAACAAGAGATCTTGGAGTTGTAGTAGATAACACACTGAAAATGTCGAGACAGTGTGTGACTGAAATAAAGAAGGCCAATGCTATGCTGAGGATTATTAGGAAGGGTATTGTAAACAGATCAGCCAATATCATAATGCCGCTATATAAATCAATGGTGCGACCTCATCTGGAATACTGTGTGCAATTCTGGTCACCACACCTTAAAAAGGATATTATAGCTTTGGAAAAAGTGCAGAAAAGAGCAACCCGAATGATAAAAGGGTTGGAACACTTTCCCTATGAGGCTTCACCCAAGGAGTGATTAACACATGGAATTCACTGCCACAGGAAGTGGTGGCGGATACAAGCAAAAGGGAATTAGATAAGCATATGGAGCAGAGGTCCATCAGTGGCTATTAGCCACAAGGTATGCAACAAACATGAAGTTGAGCAAACTTCAGAGGACGGCTGAAGACCGGAAGGCCTGGCGTGATCTGGTCCATGGGGTCGCGAAGAGTCGGACTCGACTGTGTGACTGAACAACAACAAATAGATAGGGACTCTGGGGCAACTGATGCTCTGACTTTTTGGTGCTTGGGGGGGGGTCAACAGTGGGAGGGCTTCCAGTGTCCTGGCCCCACTGGTGGACCTTCTGATGGCACCTGGTATTTTTGGCCACTGTGTGACAGAGTGTGGGACTGGATGGTCCTTTGGCCTGATCCAACATTGGCTTCTCTTATGCTCTTACGTTCTTATGTTCTTCATACAGTTATGTTTCACTGTGCTAGTGTGAGGTACCCACCTTCTGAACAAGCTCCAGGCTTTTATTATCAAGCAAACAGTCTAATTCTTTAATACAACAGACCAGTGCTCTCACTTTGTAACTTTGTGTACATAAGGGGGTGAATCTTTTGTCGTTACTTGTGGTACAAACACCATGCAGTAGTTTATGGTGTGTTTGTTTTTTTAATCTGCTGTCTAAGAGAAGAAATTTGAGTTAACTGAAATCTGAGTAATGAGCATAGTTCTTCTGTGAAGAAATCTGTTTATATTGCATAATCCTCCAATCCTCCAATCAACATAGAGGATTCAGGCTTAATAGTGGATTCTTAATGAGTTTTTAGTCCAGTCACAAGCTCAAGATGCTGGCTGCTTTTTCTTCTTTCTCTGGGCTCAGTGCAGGGAGTTGGAGAAGGGAATCTCTCAAATAGATCTGGATCTAGATTAGTATAAGGGGAGATCTTAAAAAGAGTTGTAAAATCTAGGCTACACTTAGATCTTAATCAGGAGAACTTTCTTGCTGGCTATTAATAAATACAGAAGCATCCAGTTAATTCCAGTATTTCTAAGATTTCCATTGAGGATCTCAGGTCTAAGTCACATGAACATAGCTAGTAAAATTAAACTGGGATTAAGATCTGTTAAAGAAAAAAAACTGTTTCCAGGAAGCATTAGAAATATTTGGTAGGAAATATTCCAGAATCCTCTTTTGACTAATCTTCAGTGGCTTCTGCCTTCTGGAACAGTCTACCTGAGACCCTGCAACATACTTCATCTTTGTTATTGGTGTGTGGGGGGGGACGGACGACATTTTTCTGTCAGTGATCTTTTGGTTCACTGCCACAGGAAGTGGTGGCAGCTGCAAGCATGGACGGCTTCAAAAGGGAATTAGATAAACACATGGAGCAGAGCTCCATCAGTGGCTAGTAGCCACAAGATATAGATAGGGACTCTGGGGCAAGTGATGCTCTGTCATCTTGGTGCTTGGGGGGGTCAACAGTGGGAGGGCTTCTAATGTCCTGGCCCCACTGGTGGACCTCCTGATGGCACTGGTATTTCTGGCCACTGTGTGATACAGAGTGTTGGACTGGATGGGCCTTTGGCCTGATCCAACATTGGCATCTCTTATGTTCTTATGGTTAATATTGAGGTCAATTAGTTTCATTTTGCTATTTAGTGAGGTTGGCTATATTTGGGGAAGGGAGAGGGGCATTACTGGGTTTATGTGAGTTCAGTTTTTGTTGGGTTTTGTGGATTAGATTTCTGTTTTAATATATGAGTAATTTCATTTGGATTGTTTTTATGAGCCTGTTGGTGATAAGTGGTGTACAAATGTCTTAAAAATAAATTTCCAAAAGTTAAAGCTATTTCTGCTTTTTTAATTGTAGACCGTGTCAAAGGGAGTTTGAAAAACAATTTCTTTCCTTTCAGAAGGATCTTGTGATACTTTTTCCTAGATACAGTATATAAGTAGAACTTGAGAATGTTCATATTGACAAACACATGCATGCACTTTGCTGCACATTCTTGTTCAAACCAAGGAATGTAGATATTCTGCAAATATAGTCTTCCCTGCAAAACCACCAATTTTGGTTGAATCATAACATTAATTTTCTCAAAGATCATAGGATGATGAATCAGAAGTTGAAATGTCCTTTTGTAATTAGAGTAAAAGGCCAGAAAAGAAAAGTTCCCCTTCACCCATCCCAGTACATATTTCCACCCACTGTTATCATTTTCATTAGTAAATTGAAGGAAGTAAATGCCTCATTTAAAATATTTTATTTTTCTTAAGCTTTAGTAAGCTGATGTGCTCATTCTGCAAGGCAGAGTACCATGGCCTTTCCCAGAAACTGGATAGCCCTAAAATTAACACATTGCTTTGAAGGCATTTTGCTAAGACAAATAGTCACAACATGCTCCATATTTTAGAAAACCTTTTTGTTTTTCTTTCTATTTTACCAGCTATAAATTAGTTGGATATCCAATGCAAGCTGTACTGTGTTCTGTTAGAGTTAGGACTGTGTCACTTCCAAGTTTGATATAAGGACTGTGACTCTCCATTGGTTCTGTTTTCTCCTTTCTGAATGTTAAAGAAAGTGCCAGCATGATACAGTGCCTAGCGTGTTGGACTAGGATCTGGGCGACCCAGTTTGGAATCCCCACTCTGCCATAGAAGTTTGCTGGGTGACCTAGGGCCAGTCTCATACTCCTGGAGGGGGGGCTGGAGAATGATGTAAGCTGCTTTGCTTTGGGCCTCCATTGGGCAAACATGATGAGGTATAAATGAGTTAAATAAATTGCGTACAGCATAATACTAACTTCTCCGTGTACATCTAGAAAGAATGACTTCAGGAGAGACATTCAGAAGATACTACTTGGATTCTTAACCTGGTAGCTTCTCAGCTTCATACTTTCTTGTTTTTAGGACTCTCCTGCTAACGGACCCAGAGGCCTATTTGTAGGCGATCTTGTCACTGCTCTGCAGGACTGTTCAGTTTATGGTGTGGAGGACTGGAATTCTTGCCTAGGAGAGATTTCTCAGAAGCCACAAACTGGCTATTGCATAAAGGCAACAGTTCTGCAGCAGCTAAGCTTCCCATCTAGAGGTATTTGTTTTTCTCAGAGTGAATGTTATTGCTGATTATACTTTTGTAATTATTTGAAGATTATATTCCAGGATGTCAGAGATGACTCAAATCTGGTTGTCTTCTTACACAACCAACATTCCAGTTTTGTCAAACTGTCCCCGGGGATGTCCTTGGAACAATTGGGTATAGGCTTCATTCTTACATTTCTTTACTTCAAGAAAAGAAATCCAGCAAGTTGTGATTTTTGAAAATTTAACGCATTTCTCCTTTAGGTTTTAAGAGACTTGATGGAACAGTCGAATGCTGTAGCAACAATAGCCTCACCGATGTCTGCTTTTCATACAGTAATAATTTGGAGAGCCAACTGGTAAGTGGCTTGTCGATACTGATTTGTACAGTGCAAATGTTTATAGTACAAGTTCAAGTTTATAGTACAAGTTCATTTAAAACATCATTTTCAGATATCAAGAATGCACATGAAATACTAACCTAGTGGTACACACAAGTAGTGTTGTGGTGCGGCCTGTGAAATTGAAATAATTAAGTTAAATTAGGGCCAAACCATACATGGGGCTTTGAAACAACATGGATCCAGGTTTTATGAATGTGGCTTGGTTTTTCTGCAGCCATACAGTTGGGTTGGGAGAGGAATCTCCCCCCCCCCCCCCCCCCCCCACAATTTGCCTGAACCAAAATATCCCCAAAGAAATTATTTGCCCACGGGGCTGATTTTTCCCTCCCAAGTTATGACTCCGAGATGAATTGGGACCTTCGAAATGACACTCCCCACAACTGCTGTGTGGCTGCAGGGAAAGTGAGGCTGGTTCAGGAAACCCCAGCCTGGCTTGTTACAAAACTTAATAAGTTGTTAGACTCTTAGCTACTGTTGGAGACATACACAGATTATACTCTCAGTTTTGATCACTGAGTAAGGAGATTGCTTCGATGACCCCCATAAATTTGTCTTGTAGGACAGAATAAGACACATCAGTAGAACTAGAATCAGTAGAACGAGGTCCTGTGCTTGAGTCGGGTCGGTCCGGGGTTGGGGATCCCTCTCCCAACCTTTGATGGGGCACTTCTGGTGTCTGCATCGGAGGTTAGGAGTTTGGGAGTGCTCCTGGATCCCTCCTTAAGCATGGAGGCCCAGGGGGCAGCCACTGCCAAATTGGCCTTTTACCATCTTAGTCTGGTGCAGCAGTTGGTTCCCTTCCTTGACCGCGATGATCTGGCTACAGTGATCCATGCGACGGTCACCTCGAGGCTAGACTACTGTAACGCTCTCTACATGGGGCTGCCTTTGTCGCAGATCCAAAAGCTGCAGCTGGTGCAGAATGCGGCGTCCCGGCTGTTGATGGATCTCCCCAAGTGTGAGCACATCCAGCCTGGGCTGAAAGCACTGCACTGGCTGCCAATAGCATACTGGATCCGTTTCAAAGTGCTGGTGCTTACCTTTAAAGCCGTATATGGCCAGGGTCTGACATACCTGAGGGACTGCCTTTCCCCATACGTACCCTCAAGAGCACTTCGGTCGGGGACTCAACATCGCCTGGTGATTCCAGGTCCCCGGGAGGCAAGGCTTGCCGCAACTAGGGCCAGGTCTTTTCAGTGGCGGCTCCTACCTGGTGGAATGATCTCCTGGAGGAGATCAGGGCCCTGCGAGACCTCATACAGTTCCGCAGGGCCTGCAAGATGGAGCTCTTCCACCAGGCGTTTACATAGGAGCTGCCACTACCACCACCACCAATGGCGTGCGTAACAACTGGGTAAGAGGATGGCCCTTGAAGATCTGCCATGAGACCGCGCTGGGTTGGTACCACTGGATTGGCCATGTACCAGCTACAGGACACTATCTACCTCCAATGAAAGATCCGGCACCTACTGTTGGAAGACCATCTTGTTTTTTAGAGAGCACTTTACTTTGTGATTCTAGGGTTTTATTTTTGTTTTAAGTTATTTTAATCTTGTTTTATATGTGGGCATTGTTGCCCTCTTGTAAGCCGCCCTGAGCCCGCTTGCGGGGAGGGCGGGGTAGTAATACAAATAAATAAATAAATAAATAAACTAGGTTTGAGTAGTAGATAGAGGAAGGTTAGGTTGCATAGTGTAGGCTTTCTTTTAAAGATGTGGAAAGTGTTCCATCTTGGCAAAGTAAATTTAATACAATAAAAAGTGTTCAATTTTTGACTCAGCCAAATAAGCAAAGGGATGTATGAATAGATAATGGGTAGATTTTGAGTACTCTGCTGATCCAGGAAGCTCTCTGCATCCCAGCTCTTTTCATCACCCCGACCTCGGTCTCGCAAAGAATGTTCTCCCTGTGATTTATTTATACTGTATATCCCTGTATTAAAATAATTGGAAAGCATATGGATATGTGGAGCAATTCAGTTTCAAGCATGTGACATCTTATGATTGCTTAACAGCCCAAGTCCCAGAAGTATTATGAAGAGGGCGTGTGTTTTATAAATGCTTAGTTGGTACAAACAGATGAAAAAACAAGCACCATTGTCTGTTGCTGTAGTCCTTCTCCTGTATGTGTAAATGGAAGTCACTGAGGTGGTTGACATTCCAGGAGCATATGGGACAGTGTATCCACTGTAGCTGACAGTGAGAGAATCCCACAACCACACATTGGGCTGCATTACGAGTTAGTAATCTGTAGCTGTATGGCTGTGGTGATCCTTCTCTGTGATAGTCCTTGAGCAATCATCTGATATATATAAAAGTCCTAACATATTGGCATTTTCCAGCTCTCCCATTGGCTGTTCTGTCCGCTCCATCAGCCATTGGCCCATCAACCGCCACTCAAGAGTACTCATGTGCCATTGGCTGGGTGCTGGGTCCACTCCTCTTTCCCGCCCACTGCCAGTCTGGCCACTGTTCCCTCTCAGAATAACCTGCTATGCCAGTGTGACATAGCAGTTAACACTTCAGAGCAGGGTCTGCCAGACCCAGGTTCTTGCTGTGGAAGCTGAGTGGGTGATTTCAGACCAATCACAGACTTTCAGCCTAACCTACCTCACAAGGTTGTTGTGTGGATCGAAAGGGGGCGAGGAGAATGATGTAAGTTGCTTTGGTCCCCACTGCAGAAAAGGACTGTACAGAGAAGGGGGAGAGGAGAATCCTCTTGGGGAACCATTGTTGCCAATCTCCAGGTGAGGGCTGGAGATCACTCAGAATGACAACTGCTCTCCAGATGGCAGTGATCAGTTCCACTGGAGAAAACAGTGGACTCTGTGTCATACCCTACTGAGGTGGCCTCCCATGACAGCCAGTGTGACATAGCAGTTAGTGCTTCAGAGCAGGGTCCGCCAGACCCAGGTTCTTCCTGTGGAAGCTGATTAGTGATTTCAGACCACTCACAGACTTTCACCCTAACCTACCTCACAGGGTTGTTGTGCGGATCAAAAGGGGGAGAGGAGAATGATGTGAGCCGCTTTGGTCCCCACTGCGGAGAAGGACTGTACTATTTCTAGGTAGAGGCTGCAGGGAGGGGAAAGGAGATGGAAAGCTGAAGTCAGAGGGGCAGATAACGATAGGTTGATGGTTGGCTGGGAAGGAGATAGGGTTGCCACCTCCAGGTTGGGGAATTCCTGGAGATTTGAGGGGTGCAGCCTGGAGAGGGTGGGGCCCCCCTCCAAACCAGCCATTTCCTCCTGGGGAACCATTGCTGCCAATCTCCAGGTGAGGACTAGAAATCACTCAGAATTACAGCTGCTCTTCAGATGGCAGGGATCTTTTCTCCTGGAGAAAATGGTGGGGTCTGTGTCATTATACCCTGCTGAGATTGCCACAGCAAATTGACACTGAGTGCCCAAGGCTACAGCACCCACCCAGAGCCTCTTTTTAGAGCTCGTTGTATTTATTTCCACAACGGGCCTTATTCCTATTACCCCTATATTTACATAATTATTTGAATCCTTCCCTTAACAGAAGAATTGTACAACACAATAATGATGGTTGAGTCTGTGTTTATCTATAAGACTATGACTTGGAGCAATTGGCAGCAAGTGGGATACTGTACATGCACATTAAAATTAGAATGATTGGAACTTGGCCTTTCCCATTGTCGAGCTAACTTGATGAAGTACAGCCTTCCGCTTTAGCAGTGTGTGCTAGTGGATGTTCTCAGCATAGCTCAATATTTATAATTTCATTTCTAGTATACCTGTCTGCCAGCTCGGAAAACTATTGAAGCCAGTCAACTCTGCCGTACTAATATGGATTGCCAGAAGGACTTTGTTCCGAGCTTGTGTGTGACTCCTTCTTTGGAAAATCAAACTAGACTCATCCGGGTGAAACACCCACCTCAGATTGATATGCTGTTTGTAGGGCACCCGCTCCATCTACAGTATACAGGTTTGTTTAATTTGGGGGAAGATTTTAACAAAAATTGGTTCTGTTAACAGGTTAGCCTTGGTATGCTTGTTGTCAAGCTTTCTTACTTCAAAGCTGCCTCTCCGCTACCCCAGTATCTTACTAGGTTGTGGATGGTTTTTGAACCTGTTTTCAAACTAGAAGTGATAGGAAGATCCACGTATACACATGTCTAAAGTGGGGAGAGGGTGTTTAGTTTAAAAAAAAACATGCATGGGAAAGAGGAGCAAAACCCTGCACTTCCCTCCCTCACCTTACTGTGAACAGTTATTTTCAGCATTTTTCTTCTGGCCTGGCTTACTATTGGTATAAGAGCTGAATTGGAAGAGAAGTGCTGAAAACAACAGAGCGCCATGGAGTACTGTTTAGCTCTGCTTTCTTGTGCTCTTTGTTTTTAAAACAAATAGCTTCCTCTTTAGACATGGACACACCTGGAGCACCTCATCCCACCTAATTTGGCCTTGAAAGCCAGATTTTATGTGAAGGGGGAGATCCATGAGAGGGTTTTCACATGGTCTTTAAATAAAAGGCAAAACAGCTGCTGGTGTGTGTGTACAAATTACATCCTGTGACAAGAAGCATTTAATTCTTCTTCTTTTTTCTTTTTTTGCTTTTCTCCAGTTTTTTGACCCAAAACCTTGACCCTAATAACTTAACATCAGCACAATCTGTCTAAATCCACATGTTCACTTTAAACCCACATACACTATCAGCTCTTTTCCCTCCCTCAAGCAGTGGCAATAAAGTAGGTCTTCATAAAGCACAAGGGCAGATTCTCACTTGACTTTTTGTGCTTGGGTACCCACGTACTGGAGTATAAAATAAATATCCACCATTTCAAGCATGACAGGGTGTAGAATTGCATGACTCTTAAAAAAAACCCTTAGAAGTTGTATAGCTTCCTTTCCATATTTTTATTTCTATGATTTTTAAAGGGACAAGCACTCAATTCTGTAAGTGCATATTTCAGACTTGGTGGAGCAGATTCCTATTTTATACTTAGCTGTATAGTTACCTACACTCTGCCTTAAGTAGGGCAGAAAATGCTGAAAAGCTGGTGATAGTATTTTTTTAATATAAACACCTGTGTGTCACTCTTCCATGTAAATAATATTATGTAAATAATAATGTTTTGGTAAAAAGTTTGCCTCGAGGGTCTGAGCTCAAATTCTCTAGCAAAATTTTTAAGCACGTAAAAAATTAGACTTTAAACAGCCTATGGCCAACTTTGGCTCAGCATGGAACCAAATATGGCTCTGTATGAATCAAATCTTCAGGTTTTAAGGTATATTGTACGGGCAGGTGAGATGATAGAATAACTAGGATGCAAACAGAATGGCAGCCCTAACCTGGATAGCCCAGGATAGCACCACTTCCTATTAATGGGCCTACAACATCCAGTGTTTGTGCTGTGTAAATGTTATGGATTATTAATTCAGTAACAAAGTTATGCAGGTGGGCTTTTTTATGCTGCTGCTTTGTTCTTGCTCTGGATTTTGAGGTGGTTTAGCTCTTCAGCTGTAAAATTTTTACAGCATACTCTTCAGCTTTAAAACAAACTTCAAAGAGCAGAGACGATGCTTTGTTAAAACTCTGGAAAGTTCTTCAGCTGTCAGAAACTTAGTCTTTTGCCTCACCCCTCATTTAGAAGCAGCTTGGGGGTGTCTGCCTTTTGGATGAACATAGGGTTGCCAGGTCCCTCAGAGCTGCCAGCAGGGGATGGGGGGTACACTTACCAGGAGCAGGGAGGAATGCCAGAAATTAACGCTACATGCCTATATGACACGGAAGTGACATAGGTACATCAGGGATGTTGGGGGGGTGACACTCTGGCTTTTGGGCAAAAACTCTATGGTAGAATTAGCTTCTACCATAGAGTTTTGCCCAAAAACCAGAGTATCGCACCCCAACATGGCGGCGGTGTGGGTGTATGAATGGTTAGGTTGTTAGGAGTGATGTTGGGTAGTTTTACAGCAGAGTAGGTTGAATTTTTTTTTAACTTAGCATCAGTGAAACCAAGTTGTGTCCAGCCTTTGTGAGGCTTAGCATCTGCTAGCCATCAGTGGTCTGAAGTTTCCGCGGAGACTTGCTGAGGCGGCAATGCCTGGACAAAATATCCTGGTGCTCGTGGGGAGGGGAAAGTACAGCGGTGGGCCCAGGCAGTATGGTAAGGGAAGGACACTGAGAAATAAAATGGCTCGGTGCCCTTCCAGCCTGCGGCCCATCCCAAGGGTTACTGGCAGTGGGGCCAGGATTGAGAACCCCCTTCCGTCATTGGTGCTGTGCAACGCCAGGTCTATTAATAATAAGACCTCAGTTCTTCGGGACTTTGTGCTGGAACAACAGGCTGACCTGGCGTGCATGACCGAGACCTGGGTGTGGGATGGGGAGACTGTGGCTCTCTCCCAGCTTGCCCCACCAGGTTTCTCGGTCCTCCACCAATCACGGACGAGGGGGGAGGAGTGGCTGTCTTCATTCGGGAGGCGTACTCCTTCAGGGCGCTCCCACCTGCGAAGATCACGGGCTTGGAGTGTGTCGGCCTGATGCTGGAGGCTGAGGAGAGTTTGGCGATCTGGCTGGTGTACCGACTGCCTAACGCACCAGCCAGTAGTCTGTCATCTCTGCTGGAGGCCGTATCAGGCTGGGCGTTGGAGCACCCTCGGCTGGTAGTCATGGGTGATTTCAACGTCCATGCCGATGACGCGGCTTCCAGTCGGGCTACGGATCTAGTGTCGTCCATGGCGGCACTGGGACTCTCTCAGTTTGTATTGGCTCCCATGCATCGGGTTGGTCACACGCTCAACTTGATCTTCGCGGCAGGGTTGACAGTGGACTGGATTACTGTGGAAGCAGTACCATGGTCGGACCACTATGCACTGAAGGCCCATCTGAACGTGCACCCCGACTCTGTTTAGGCGGCGAGCAGATTTTAGCTCACCCGAGGAGCCAAATGGACCCAATTCGGCTTCAGATGGCTCTACGGGATCCGAGGCCCCCTGGCAGTTCATTGGATGAGCTTGTGGAGGACTGGCATCGCTGACTCTCCGCAGCCATCGATGAAATCGCTCCCAGGTGCCCTTTCCGCACCCGCTCTAGGTTGGCGCCCTGGTACACCCAGGAGCTACGGCTGATGAAGCGGAAACTGAGATGGTTAGAGAGACGGTGGCGTCGCGCTCGTGACGAGGCGTCAAGAGCATCTTATAGGACGTTTATGAGATCCTATGAGATGGCAGTCAGGGCCGCAAAGAGAGGTTTCTATGCAACCAGGATTGCACCCAGCCCAATTATTTAGAACAATTCGGTCGTTAACGGCTCTGCCACAGGGCAGGGGAAATGCTAGGGAATTGGATATTGGCTGTGAGGCATTTGCGAGCTATTTCGCAGATAAAGTCTTGGCGCTCCACCGTGACCTCCCCGCCACAGTTGAGACAGTGAGCGAACTCGAGGCCCCTTGCACATTTTCGGTTCCGGGTTTAGAGTGCTTCGGCCTGCTCAGCCTGGAGGAAGTTGACAGATTGCTTGCATCGGTGCGCCCAACCACATGCAACCTTGACCCGTGCCCCTCCTGGCTCATTAAAGCGGGTCACGAGGGGTTGCAAGGTGCTCTCAGGGAGATTATCAACACATCCCTTTTGGAGGGACGGTTCCTGGAGGCACTTAAGGAAGCGTTGGTCTGCCCTCTCCTGAAAAAATCTTCTCTGGACCCGGCCAAATTGGCCAACTATCAGCCGGTGTCCAATTTGCCCTATTTGGGCAAACTTATTGAGAGGGCGGTGGCGACACAGCTGCAGGGCTTTCTGGATGACGCTTCCGTCCTACATCCCTTCCAGTCCGGCTTCCGCCCGGGGCATGGGACAGAGACAGTACTGGTCGCTCTTACTGACGACCTCTGACGGCATCTGGATCGAGGCGGTGTGGCGGCGCTGCTGTTGTTAGATCTGTCGGCTGCGTTCGATATGGTTGACCATCAGCTGCTGAGCACTGGGGTTGCAGGCCGTGGCTGGTTGGCTCCTACTGAGTCGGCTGAAGTTAAACCCGGCAAAGACGGAGGGCCTTGGCCTGAGTCGGGGTGGTCTGGGGTTGGGGCTCCCTCTCCCGACCTTCAATGGGGTGCCTTTGGTGCCAGCGCCGGAGGTTATGAGTTTGGGAGTGCTCCTGGACTCCTCGCTAACTATGGAGGCCCAGGTGGCAGCCACTGCCAAGTCACCTTTTTACCACCTTTGGCTGGTGCAGCAGCTGGTTCCCTTCCTCGACCGCAGTGACTTGGCCACAGTGATCCATGCGACGGTCACCTCAAGGCTAGACTACTGTAATGCTCATTACATGGGGCTGCCTCTGTCGCAAATCTGGAAGCTGCAGCTGGTGCAGAAGGCTGCTGATGGGTCTTCCTAGTAGGGACCACATCCGGTCTGTTCTGAAAGCAGTGCACTGGCTGCTGATAGCGTACCGGATTAGCTTCAAAGTGCTGGTTCTTACCTTTAAAGCCCTATATGGCCGGGGTCCAGCATACCTAAGGGACCGCCTTTCCTCATATGTTCCCCCACGGGCACTACTGTTGGGGACGCAACATCTCCTGGCGATGCCAGGCCCCAAGGAAGCCAGGCTGGCTGCTACCAGGGCCAGAGCCTTCTCGGTGGTGGCTCCTACCTGGTGGAATGAGCTCCCGGAGGAGATCCAGGCCCTGTGGGACCTTGCACAGTTCCGCAGGGCCTGCAAGACGGAGCTCTTCCGCCAGCCGTTTGAGTCGGAGCTGCCACTACTGTACCATCATTATCTGGCCCTGGAAGAAAGAACGACAGCTCCAAACGGAACAGACGGCACTGAGTGGACATAACAGTATTAATACGTCATCTTTATGGAAGACCTATTCGGAACATCCAGAGCACTTAATAATAATGTTGTAATATTGTAGAAATGATTTTTAAATGGTTTTAATTGTGTTTTATGTGCTGGCTTATGCCTGATTGTGAGCCGCCCTGAGCCCGCGTTGTGGGGAGGGCAGGCTATAAATTGAATTTATAAATAAATAAATAAATAAACATCTCTGACATGCCTACATCACTTCTGGGTCACATAGGCATGTCACATTAATTTCCAGCGTTTTCCCCTGTTTGGCGTGGTAATTCCCCCCTGCTGGCAGCTATGAGTCAGCTGTGGCCCTTCCTGGGCAGAAAAGATCTTGCCACTATGGTGCATGCCCTGGTAACATATAGTTTAGATTACTGCAGTGCACTCTATGTGGTGCTGCCCTTGAAGACTGTCTAAAAGCTGCAGTTGGTAAAGAATGCTGTGGCCAGTGTTGACTGGAGTGGGTCATATGCACCATATCACTTCAGTTTTGTTCTGGCTACACTGGCTTCTAATTTGCTTCTGGGCTTTATTCAAGGTGCTGGTACTGACCTTTAAAGGCCTCAGACATACCTTAAGGACCACCTTTTCCCATATGAACCTACCCGTTCACTCCAGTCATCTTTGGAGGCCCTGTCTCAATTGCCTCCACCATCGGAGGCTAGATTGTGTCACCAAAACTTTGGAACTCCGTCCCCAGGGAGATTTATCTGTCTCCCTCCATTGGTGTCTTCTATCAGTGAGTGAAGACTTGTTTGTTTTGTTTGGCATGCCTCCAATAACCATTATAGGGTCTCCTCCCTAATTCGGGTATTGTTTGTTTGTGGTTTTATTGAATTATTTTATAATTTTAAATGTTTTTAATTGTTCAGATGTTTTAATGTTACTCCTCATAGTGGTATTCCACTGCTAGACTTAAATTCCTTCCTAGCCTGAGAGGCAGCACTCTGGCATGCTGTTGTTGTAAGAAGGGAAAGAGCCCTTGGAATGGAACCAACTTCTTGTTTGTTTGCTGTCCCTCCTCCTTTCACAATTTCATCTATAGTTCTTCAAATAAAACTCTTAGCTGTGTTGTCTCTTCTTAAAGAGTACAGATGCTCAGTTATGAAGTGGCACAAGCACATCATGTGTTTAGTGGTCATATTCTCACAAAGCGGAGACTATTATGACTACACAGCCAAAGAAGAGAGCATTAATGGGGAAGATGACCTCACTATGTATGTGTAGTAATACTCCACTGTCTTGAAAATAGCATGGATAAGAATTCCTACTTTGCCATGATGCTCATTATAAAGGAACTGTGTTACATACTGTCAAATTGTGTTTCACTTTTATAAAGAGTTTACAATATTTTGTTTTGTTCAAGTGAGCCTCAGCAGTTTCGTACCTCGGCACAATTTTCTCAGCATGGACCTGCCTGTAGTGATGGAAACTTTTTGCAAGTATCCTTTGATATTTGTGTGGTTTTTTGGAGTGATGACAGTACATACAGAAGAACATCTGAGGATCACAGACAGTTTGTTCAACAGCCTATTCTTCTCCAAAGTCACAACTGTAAAACACTTTGTTGATTCTTCACATTTGACATGAAGGCTGTCAACCAGCTAATTATTAGTTGTACACATGAAGGTGACTTATACAGAGGCATACTATTGATCTATCAAGCATGGTGTAGTTATTTAGACCCCCACTCTGACACACAAGCTTGTTGAATGACCTTGGGCCTGTCATATACTCAGCCTCATATACCTAACATGGTGGTTGTGAAATGGATGAGAGGAGAATGATGCCTTTTGGGGAGAAAGGTGGAGTAGAGAGGTTAGTATTGTACCCTCTGATAGTGACTTTACAGAGTCTTAGATAGAGGTATTTCATGTCACCTACTGCCTGATCCTTTTAACCGGAGATGATTGGGATAGAACCTGGGACCTTCTGCATGCAAAGGAGATGCTGTACCATTGGGCCATTCTTCCACCTGTTCTTGATTAATTGTTTATTTTTAACAGATTAATTATTCAGATTATTCAGTTTAAATACGACTTTTTATAAGAACTCCAGAGTAGATTTTATTGTGAAGATACTGAAAAAGGTGTGAGGAAACTTACAATTTAATAAACAAAAACTAGCATTCATTATTAAGAAAAATTAGATCTTTAATATAGTCATTTTCTCTTATGATGGCAATAAAATAGTATTACACACATCCTCCAAATGATAATCTTAATTCTCTGCCCCCTGACTAATCAACTGCAGGTTTATGGTTTTGTTCCTGTATTAATTCCTGGTATTTATCAGAATCATCAGTGTTAATTTTCTTTAAACTGAGTTTAAGTAAATAGGTTACTGAAAAACAGTACGAGTTAAGAGAACAAGTGTCTTGAGGCATCTTAAAGGGCAGTATGTTAATTGTGGCATAGGCTGTAGCTCATTTGTTTGGCTGGAGCAGACTAACACATCTACTCTAGAATGTGTCACTGTAGGAATGAAAAGCAATAACTGGGTTGGAGAATAAATCAGGGCACGGCAAGAGTTAATTGTTCTCCAAATGAAACAACACCTGAACTGGTTTGTTTTTTAAAAAAATGTCAGTTGAATCTGAAATGGAACCAGGACTAGAAAAACTGGTTCAGATTAAGGACTTGTCTGTGGGGTAATGCAATATGATCGCTGTGAGTATACAAAACCAGTATCTTGGAGGAAATTTCGAGACATTTTGGATTTTTTCAGGTTGTCTGCTGTGCTCTTCAAGGGCTGGGAACCCACAGGCAGGATACAGAACTACAGTTTTCAGCTGTGGTCAGCTTTACAAGAACGTGAAATTAAACAGGTTGGCAGACCGATAAGAAGCGGTCTGCAGTTCTGTTCTCTGCTAAGTTTCTTTCTCCCCTGTGTAGTTTCCCTAGCTGTTAAAGATTGGAGGTAAATAGCATCACCTAGTAAATAACATGACCTTAAGACACTATTAAGGGGGCTGGATTTTTTCCCCACCAGGCAGTTGGCAAGCCTGTCAACATAGTACTTACGTCTGACAATTGTAACAAATAGAATACAATAAAATTCACCAAGCTTTCTGAAAAAGCACAATATTAAACTTTCCCCCATATGGACCAGAATAGTGCTATAGTGATTTAGCATGTTGGATTAGGGTCTGGGAGACCTGGATTCAAATTTCCATTCACCCATGATGCTTGCTGGGAGACCTTGGGTCGGTTGCATGTTATCAGCCTTGCCTACCACAAAGGGTTGTTGTAATGATAAAGCAAGGAAGGAGAACGATGTGCACTCTGCCTTAAGCTCTTTGGAGGAAGGGTGGGGTAAAAATGCACTAGGTACGTATATAGTATATAGCTTTGGCTGTAAATGTACCATGCTTTTGATGGCCATACTGTGTTATATTTATTTATTTATTTATTTATTTATAGTAGTGTTATGTACTGTGTTCTATAGCTGGAATGGTGTAACCAAACATTAAGCTGCTAGCTTGATTTTTAGTTTTTTTCTGTCACCAGAAAAAACTAGACTATCTTCAATCTAACTTGAATAAAGTGTAGAATATAGGTTTGTGAGTGGAAGCAAGTGTAAACTTCCATGCTGTGATATTATGCTTTTTAAGGATTTCTTTTCCACAATCTGCTACAAGTAGAATTATAAAGAGAGCTCCACACTGTTCTTAACAGAGCATTACAATTCCTGTCCCCCCACATGTAAGATTCTACTATATGTTTACTTGGAAGAAAGTCCTGTTCAGCAAACACCCTGCTTCTCCTGGCCATTATACCTTTACATATTGTTAACTGCCTCTGTTACTGTGGTGAGCACAGTATTGCTGAAGGGAACATTTTTTCTTGGGAGGTGGGTGGTATTAATTACTGTTTTTCCCTTTGCAGCTAAAGTGATCTCTGATTTTCTTTTATTATTATAATTCAATAATTCCACAATTAACAGTCATGCAAAAGAAAACTAATAGTTGCTAGGAAGAGAAAAGCAGGGATTAATTTCTCTTCTTTCTCTCCCCCTTTCAAGGAACAAGAGATTAAGAATCCTTAAGGAGTGCCAGGGTCACAGAGAGGGAACAGGAAGTAATTAATTAGACTGAGAACTGAAGTCTTTTAAATCAAGAGAAAATTTAAATAGGCTTGTAGGCCTGGCAGCATCAGCAGCTCTTTTTCAGCACATGCATGGGGAGTTGGTACTGCAGTTACAGTAAACTGGGGTGGGGGTGAACCATGAGATCTTTTTAAAAAGGTAAAATAATTGGGCTGGAATGGAGTAATAAGGGCCTCGTCTGTATTCGCTTTGGGAAAAAATGGCACCCAAACTGAACAAATGAAGTGTATTCAAAACAAAACAGCTAGCATGACACCATTTTTAGAGCAAACATTTTTTGGCTTAGTTACTAATTCAAAAGCCATCTCAAATGGTAGGAGAATAGGGAAATTTGAATATAGGATAGGAATTTGAAATGCCATTTTAAAAAGAATTGGTCAGTGCCAAGGTGGCCTCATTCATATTTGTAATAAGAATACACGTGTACTTAAAAAAAAAAGATAGACATCAAACTATATTGAGTGGGTGGCCCTTAATGGTTGGGAGGGTTTGCTTTCCATATCCAAGGTACCTTTCCACTCATTATTTTTCCAGACTTTAGAATCTAATTAATACAATTCATAGGAATGTATGTTTTCACATCCCTTAACTAATATAAACTAGATATCTGATTTCACTGTCTGGAGCCTTGGCTGTAATTAATGCAGTCCCCTGTTTTGCTCTGGATGGACAATGGATACTCAACTCTTTCCTGGAAGCTACTCTCAGCACCTTGATTGTCGAAAAACAAAACCGGGAGCTTGTGGGCTTTTTAGTTTTGCTTGCTGGCAGCACACTTTTGGCCGCCAATGTGGCTCTAGGACTCTGGATTGTGACGGCACGATAGTCTGTTGGAAAACTGTGATCATGGATAACTTTTGCAAATGTTCTAGGGACATGGGGGGAAATTGAAAATTTCGTTGTGATACATGCTGTGTCTGCACACGGGTAAAACTAGCAACCTGAAACAGCTGTAATCAAATTACACGAGAAAAAGCTGTCTACCCAGGAAGGTAAAGGTAAAGCAGGAAACTGTATAGTAAATTCAAGCCCTGGTGTAAATGTTTGTTAGCTGAATAAGTAAATTTTATTGTTGTTTTTTTCTTCTTCATTGAGAAAGCTGCACTGACAAAGGATTAGGCATGACATGATTTATTTAGATTTCCAAGTGGGGAAGTGGCTCAGCACCAAAGTATTGTCATTTACAAAGTAAAGAACCAGTTTTATGATCATGATATCCTATGTCAGCTACGGCATTATAAAAACACAAATGCATATGTGCGCGCACACACATGATTTTGTAGCTGGCTTGCCTCCATGTCTTCTCCCCTGCTCTAGTCACACACTGTTCACAGCTGCTGTAGTCACACATTGTGCTCACAGGCCACGTGTTCTCGAGGGTGCCGAGATGCTTTAGGAAAGGAAACCTAATGCAAGCTGTGTGCAGCGTGTGGACCACATCTGCCCTACCTGTCATGTAGATGAAAAGCCCCACTGTCTTTTAAGAATTAAATACACGAGAAACTATTTAAAATAGTTCTTTATAATATTACATGTGATACATGAATTACTTTAGAACTTTCTTGACTAGATTTCTACAGTCAGACTGGCTTGAGCCTCTACTTCCCTGCAGGCATCTTTACCTTTACAATACTTGAAATTCTACTGTTACAAAGTCAAATGGATTTTTCTGTGAATCATAAAATGACTGCATGTTCCATTTGGCTCCATACTGAAACTTGTATTCCATCTTCCATGTATAATAGGACTGTGATTAGCAGTCCCATCAATATTTCCTTTCCTTAGTAAATTTTAACGTCTCTTTCAATTTTTCATGTTTTACACAGGTACTGTTTACACTTAACTGAAGCGCATTCTGATTCCAGCATCTGTATTCTGTTTTACTGAGAAGTTCTGTATATTGTGGATGAGCCTGTTTAAATGTCAACTAGTGCATTGTATCATTGAGGTGTCCTTTCCATGTGCTCCCAGCTGTGTAGGGGAGCTGCTCACAGATGGCCAGCTCTCACCTTGCTGGGAAAACATCTAAAGGTCACTGTAGGCATCACAGTAAGTTCATGCACAGCATTTGTGGTCTGTAGCCCATTGCCTTTAGGAGCTTTGCTTTCTCATCTTTGAAAGGGAACACCGTGAGAGGGGATGACACTTTCTGTACTTTTTGCTGGGAAATTTTCTAGATGAGAATAAGGAGTATGTGTGGCTCCACTATGGTAATTATTCTGTTACTGTCTCTGTCTCAACCAAATCAACATGTTGACCACTCAATATCGCCTTCCGTTTTCTTATCAACAGATGTTTGTGTTTTGAAATTGCTTGTTTCAGACAGATGTAAATGATTCAATCATGATTATCCCAAGTTATTTTTATAAACAGTATTGATCTGAAAAGTATAAAAGGTATGCTCATATGTTTTAATTATTGACTATTAGCCACTTAAGAGTGCCTCCTGGCAAAAAGTGGGATATAGATTTAAATGTAAAATTAAAAATTCTCAGTATGTGCCATTTCTAATTTATATTTGATTATAAAAATCTGTATCAGATGGGAAAATGCTGTTTGATATTCAGAGAGATTGTACATAATTTTGATTAATACCTACTGTATTTCTTATGTGCCCTGACCTGAATAGCCCAGGCTAGCCCAGTCTTGTCAGTTCTTCGAAGCTAACAGTGCCAGCCCTGGTGAGTATTTGGATGGAAGACCAAGGAAGTCGGGGGTTGCTGTGCTGAGGCAGGCAATGGGAAGCCACTTCTGAACATCTCTTGCCTTGAAAAATCCCATGAGGGGTCTCCATAAATTGGTTGCAACTTGATGGCATTTTCCACCACCACTCTTATGTGATCAATATGGGTGTCAGGACTTCAAATACTTAAAATAACTAGAGCAGTGGTGATTAACCTTTAATCTACCGCTGTCCCATTATCATTGAACACCCCTAAATGTTTCCTTTCTTTAGTAGAATATTTATACACTGTCTTACCAAGAAAGCAAACAACCAAAAACAAATGAATAAACCCCAGCCTGCTGGTAACCAAATTACAGACTTTAAAAAAGACAACAACACAGTTAGACAAATTAATACCCGCCTTGTGGCAATAACTTGGCAAATGCCAACCTAAAACAGAATGGTCTTGCATTTTTTACAGGAGGAGGATGGCAATAGAAGCCCCCCCAGATCCTTGGGAAGGGTGTTCTAGAACTCTGGGCCTGTGCTGTGGCTGAATGGAGGGATGGCGCAACCAGGAAGAAGCCCTGACAGGCAGTTTCACAGCAGTTTTTTTTTAAAGGATATAAAAACAGCATTTCATATGAGGCAGCTTTATTTATATAGGTATATTTATGATCTGTGCTTTCAATACACAACCTGAGAGTACATTAAATGACACCCCTTTTGCCTGAGGGCCATGCATGAATACTTCAATAGTAAATTTGATTCCTGTTTGTTTTGTGCCACAGATTTCTTCCCCCCAGGACCTTAACTACAGGTTCTGGGATCTTATCCCCAAGTGTGGTGGGTAGTGTCGCCCGCTTTTTAAACTCATCCCTCCAGCTGCCCCTTTAATTATTTGATCTACAGTGATTATCTGGTGATGTTATTTTGCTCTAAGTACCCATTTCTGCATATTAAACCTCTATTTTTTTAAAAGGACATTTTTCCCTGGCCTGTTGGCAACCTCAGTTGTCCTCCTCCAATTACTGTAGATCATCGCCTTGTAGGCTATTGGGTCCTGTTAAAAATTGCTGGACTAGAGTTAAACATGTTAATTACTGTGGAATGATCTAATTATGATGGATGTAACCAAATAATTATGTCCCTAAATTTAAGTTACAAAGTAATGTTTGTGTTTAAATGGAAGCATTTTTCTACAAATATTGTATGCTAGTTATGTATAATGTTTCTTGAGTTATTGTCTGTCGACTATAATGTTTTTTGGCTGGACCAGTGGCTAAAAAAAAAAAATCAAACTGCAGCATTTGAGGTCTGATTATTAAGGCCACTGTAAAATTCAGGTTTGGAGTGATTTCATGGGGCTTAAACTTGTTTAAATCTGACTGCAGTCCAAATAATTTACCAACTTGAAGCCATGATAAACTGCTCAGCTTTTTTTCATCCTGATCTATGACTTAGAATGCCTGTTCTACTTGTGCTGTTACTCTGATCTAACCAGTAAGCCACAAGGAGCTCCAGGAATAGAAGTGTAAATTCTATTTATGTGACCAGGAATTAGGCAAGGGATTGGACTGTGCAAGTTGCTGCTACAAAGTAAGGCTGGAAGTAGCTCTAAAAAACCTGTTGGTGTTCAAAAGAAGTTTATGGCAGATACTGATGCTACTGTGTCTTCTGCCTTGTTGAAGCTTCCCTCTCCCCATTTTGCACATGTACTTGGGACTGACTGATTAACATCATCTCAGATATATTTCTAGCATATTAATCATAACTCAGAATGTGATATGATAAACAAATATTTTGGATTATATGATAGGACAGAGATTAGCATATCCCTGAATTGCACGTTGACCAGTACAGCAAATATTAATCTTTGGCTATTACTGATGGCCAACAATTTAGAATATGACACCTCACAAAGTAGCAGTGCAATCTGTAACAACATACTAACAGAAGCAATGCAACCAGCAATTAAAATTAAACTGGTAGAAGTCATTTTGCAATGTGTTTGCTGGCATAAAATAGCTTTAGAAGATATCTAGAAAGCCTGAAAGGGAAGGGGTAAAATAAGTTTCATGGGGCCTATAGCAACAGCCATAAACTACCTTATCATATTTCCACCAGTCTCATGTTAGCATGGGCAAGTACAGTTAAACCCTTGGTGGTTGATTTTAGGTCATGGCCAAGCTTTTTTGGGGGGATGCAGTCCTTAGCATACATCCTGTTGCAAAATGTTTGCTACAGTCCATTAATGCATCTAGCAAAACATTATACACACTTGGAATCAAGTAATTTGGGGGTCTATGCTATTTTTGAACCACTTGGCATAATACTTGATTTTGTAAAAAGGAAATTTCAGTGGGAAATGCTGTCCATCAATAAATGTTAGTAAGAAAAGGGGAGGGGAGACCTTTTCTGGGTGAGTAATCAATGAGTACAGTATTTAAGTAAGCAGAGACTATAATGGTCTAAATAGAACTTACAAAATGTATACAGAAAATTAAACAGTTTGAAGAAGATTGTGAGCTCATCTGAGCACTATCATTTTGTAAAAAGCCAGTGTGGTGTAGTGTGTAGAGTGTTAGTCTAGGATCTGGGAGACCCAGAATTGAATCCCCATGCTGCCACGGATAGGGTTGCCAGGTCCCCTTGACTTGCCAGCAAGGGGATCTGGGAGGTGTTTTGGGAGTGAGTGGGGATGTCCCCGACGGGCTGACATCACCCAGAAGTGAAGTCATCCCATTGGCAATGTCAGGGGTGACACTGGTTTTTGGGCGAAACTCTGGTAAAATCAGGGTCATGTCATAGGGTTTTGCCCCAAAACCAGAACATCACACAATGTCCCTGATGCAATGATATCACTTCCGGGTGATATCATTGCGTCCAGGGGTCTTGTTGTAGAAAAAGAGCTGCCGGAGCTCATTAGCATAACTCATTAGCATAACTTATTTGCATATGCCACGCCCCCTGATATCACCGGAAGTGACAGAAGGCCACACCCCCTGACATCACCGGAAGTGTGTCAGAAGGCCCGGCTACTTACCCTCCTGCTTCATCCTCATTCCCAAACGGAATGAGGATCGAAGCAGAGGGCGGGGTAAAGAAGGGGGCGGGGCTTCACCACGTGACCGCCCCGCCCCCTAGAGGTTCTCTTCCGGAGCTCCGTACCTGAGAGCTCCCCCCCGACTAGAGCCCTGATTGCGTCAAGGATGTTGTGCAGGGATGTTGCTGCTTGTGGGCAGGGTTTCCCCTACTGGCAAGCTGGCTGGCAGCAGGCAGAAGCCCCCCAAACCATGGGATTCCCTGCTGGGACCTGGGGAATGGCAACCCTAGCCATGGAAGCTTGATTGAGCCAATCACATACTCTCAGACTAACCAACCTGAATTAGCCTTTGAGTTAAATTTTAGCATGAAATGTTGCACTTTCTGTTCTGGGATTTTTTTCAGCACTGACTGAAGTATTTTCAACTACCTCTGTGTAAATGTTTAGGCAGTCTTCTAGATACATGTCGAATAGAAATAAGAACTACATGTTTCATTTTGAATTTTCCCCACAGTAGTTTTTGTAAAATGGTGATGGTCAAACACTTAAAAGAGAATAAAAACATTTTGGGATTATTATTTTTTTTATGAGGTAACATTTCCATTTTGTTCTGCCATTTGGGACAGATTTGCTTCCCCCCCCCCCAAAAAAAACCACACACAAAATAATGACCTTTCTGATTCATGAAAGGTTCTGCAGACAAAGGACACTCTGAAATGGTGCCTGCGATTCCTTCAGTAATTTCAGATATTTGACCTTGTAGTTCATTTAATAGAAACTGTGTCTGC